AATAGTTAAATTTAGTATTCCACTTACATTAATTACATATGTTAATTTTTAAATTAATTGAATATATCAATTAATTTGTTGATTATATAAAATTTTATAACTTAAATATATATTGGAAAATATATTTTTCTTCTTTTAATAATTGTAGAGATTAAATTAAATTAAAAATTGATATGCATAATTTATATAATAGGACATTAAATCCAACCACTGGTTTTTAAAAAATATTCAATTGAGTGTAACATTTATAAAATTAAAATCTTAAAATAGAGTCAAACTAATATGCACTATTTTCTTTTATATATTTATTTTTTTGTTACATATTTAAAGTTTGCTTTTAATGCCACTTAAGTCTTGAATTTTTTTTTTTTCACTTTTGATGATGAGTTACACAAAAGGAAAAATAACCTTTTAACCTTTTTTTTTTTTTTTTTAATATCACTCCCTATTCAACTTAAAATTTAAATTTAAAATCTTCAACTTGAATTCTAAAATTTTCTTAATATATACAATTATATATATGGAATGGAATAATTGGTGAAAAGACTGAGGGGATGAGATGTTAAAAAACCATTACAATTGAATTTATATATAGAAAAGCGGAGGTGAATACCATTTATTCTATCTACATCTAAATCGTATGTAGCTCATCAGTTATCTCAAAAGGAAATGCAAATCCAATACAAAAGCATTTTTGCATTTTACACAAATCATAAATGATTTAGCTTGTTGGTGTAAAAGACTGACTATAAAGTAATAGAAATGAGGAAACCAATACAAGTATATAACAACAGTCAGAGACACATCAGAGTAAGTGCAGGATGTGTTGTGTGGTCATCTTATTATCTAGGCGTGATGGTGGAAATCACTCCACTAACAAGGTAACTGCAAGAAAGATTTGAGGATGTGTACGGATTCTTCGCCAGAGAGGATGACGAAGGTGAAGTAGTAGATGTCTTTTCTAGGTCACCTTCCATGGATTCTGCTACTAAGGGGTCAGAGTACGCCGGCATCATTAGCTCTATAGTTTCTAGAGTTCGGACCACCTCTGCCATCGAAGGTCTTGAATCTGTCTCGTATTGGCAACATTTCATGGCCAAATTCACAAACTTCTCCATACATTTAGAAGGATATGAACCCATTCTTCCGTCAATAATCGAGAATATTATACCAGATTGATATGCAATGTTAACCTGGTGTGTGTGTGTGTATGAGAAAGAGAGAGAGAGAGTACATTTGTTCAAACGGTCTGAAAGACAATTAATTTCAAGAAAAATAGAGGAAAGGAAAGCTATATATTACCTCTCGAACAAGGTTTTTGCCACATGAAATTGGTTGCATCCCTGTCAAAAGCTCTAAAAACACAACACCAAGGCTATATACATGACTCTTGTACAATTTCTGTGTCAAGAAATACTCCGGATCAAGGTAACCCTACATTTTACATGCACAATATTCAAATGATAAGATACCATACCAGCAATATATATAGTGGTGAACCAATGCTGATTGTCATATATTAGTATATATAGTATTTGAATTTCATCTCTTCTACTGCAGATATTAATATATATAGAGAAGATAGTGAATGGCATGTCGTCCTCCCAAAATTTTTTTTGGAAAACCTATCTAAAAACCCATCTTATAATTAATATTTTTAAAAATTATCCATTAGATTGAAAGTTCTATCCATATACATCATACACATAAATTTTCTTATTGATCTAATATTTACTACCCTTTGATCAAAGAACTTTATTTATTGACATATATTCAACTGTGTTAAATTTTATGTAATTAACGAAATACTTAGACCTATTAAAACAATCTAAAAATTAACATATATAGTTTATATAAATAGAACTTTCAATTCAACTATTGATTTTTTAAAATATTAATTAGAAAATAAGTTTTTAAATGTCCTCCAAAAAAATTTTGGGAGGACAACCTATAAAATACTTTTCTATATAATATATATATA